CACTTTATGTTCAACAAATTGGGCCCCGAGGTCAAAAAGGTTAAGAACCCCTGATATAATGCACACACYCATGCATAGACACACATACACACCTAGAGTGGTTCTCTCCCAGTGTGACAGCGATTCTGCAAATCCCATGGCAGGTCTCCATATCTCCATTCTGAACAGCCTCTCTTAGCTGATCCTGGAGGGACAGTACTTGAGGAACAAGTTTTATCAAAGTGTTCATGTATCTGTAAAACAATAAACAGAAATCAACGTTTATCAATAAATACATTTTTACATTTTGTTTAAAAGTTAACCATATACATTTAAGGAAAACTAGAATTCAAAACTAAATGTATATTATAAAAAATCATGTTTTTTATTATGTTTAACCCTTGTAATGTGCTGTATGATTCTAATATTGTGTGTAGATGAAACCATGAGACTCTCTGTAGGATATGARATGTGAAATCTGTGAACCTGGAAATCTGGGGGGAACTTATCAAAAAACTCAGCAGCTGATACCTTAAAACAAACTTATTTGACTGAAAGAAAAATCAYTGTAATCACTGCTACAGAAAATATGCAAGCAGGTCCATAAATATTAGGACTTTGACACAATTCTTATMTTTTTTGACTGTAAACACCACCAGGATGTATTTGAAATTAAACAAGCTGTGCTTCAACTGYAGACACAGCAGTCATATTAACAATAAAACCATTAGCATACACATGGCCACACCATGACACTACCAGCACCATGCTTCACTGATAAGGTAGGATGTTTTGGATCATGAGCAGACCCTTCTCTTCCCATTGCTCTGGTACAAGTTGATCTTTATCTCGTTTGTCCAGAACTGTAAAGGCTTATTTAGGTGGTTGACTAGCCTTCCTRTTTGTGAGGCTCACCAAAAGTTCTCATGATTGTTGACTTTTGTGTGATGTTGACAAAGCAGCAGGATGAATTCTGAAGTGTTGTGGGCAAAATTATCTGCTCATATTAAACAAACTACTTCAGAAGTCACTGGACAACACTTCACAGTGCACATGGACAATGGGCCTCATGCAAGAATGTTTGTATTCTTAKCCTAAATTTTTTTTACTTTTGTTTGTACGAACATGCCACGTCAGATTCAACAAACTCTTCTATATTCAGGAAAAGTGATAAGCAGCATAAACGGATGAATATGTATCAGGTGCTCGCGCATGAGGAGAGGAGATTAGCATAATTACCACCCTAAAAACACCATATAAGACTATGTTTCCTGCCCCAGATACCAGGAAATGTTCATTCATAAATGACATCACAATGTAAAAAGAAGAACTTTTCAAGTTCGGAGATTGAAGTCCTGCTCTCAGAGATCCAGAAAAGAAAATCTGTCATTTTTAGCAGCATCAGCAGTKTCCCCCTGCCACTCTGCCCTCTGGTGGGCTGGTGGCCCTCGGTGTCTGGGGATGGGCGCTTGGACGTGTGCCGGCTCGGCCCGGTGGCTGCCTGGTGGGGCCTGGGTCCTCTGGCCCTATCGGGCCTTGGCCTGGGGGTAGTGCGCCCTGGGGGTCCGGGCCTCTGTGTCCATGCCTGGATCTGCTCCGGCGCAGCGGGTGCCAGCGGGGCCTGTGAGCTCGCTGCGTGGGGTCACTGGAGGGGCGGGGCGGGTGTGCGGCTCCTTCTGCGCTGGTGCCCCTGGGGGCTCCGCGCTTGGGGTCGCTCTCGAGGTCTTTGGCGCTGGTCCCGCTTATGTCTGCTTCGGGTCTTGGGGACAGGGGCGCCAGCGGGGGGGGAGGGGGGGGCAGAGGGGCCATCATGGCCCCCTCTGAGAATAAGCTGGCCACCCTAGAGTGGCCCCCCAGTTTTATGCTCTTGAGTTCCCAGGTTTTTCCTTTTTTAATTCCCCTACCTATTTAGGAGTAGAACCACATAAATATAAAAACAAACACTGATTTTTTAACAATTAAGAGATAAAA